GTTTGTGGAACATATATTTTTAAATTTGTATCAAATATTTCATAAAACTTGAGATAATGATCAACATTGATTACTAATTCAATGATGTTACGTACTCAAAGTTCGAACGTAAAATATTCTGCCATTCCACCAAGTAATGTAATTGCAATTGTACTTTATCGAACCTAAAAAGGGTTTAAACTTTTGTCACCATCTATATACCTTTTTAAGGTTTCGTACAGATCCGTCACCGGAAAGGATTTTTGTAAAAAACACAAAAAAAGTGTTTTTTCAGTGTCCCCAAGCTTTTCTCAGTCACGGATTTAGCTAAGTAAAACGGTATATCGTTTGTACCAAACCTTAAAAAAGGTATATAGATGGTGACAAAAGTTTAAACCATTTTTAGGTTCGGCAGAGTACCTTTTCTTTTTAGAGAGTAGGTATATAGTTCGGCATCTATCTCGAAGGAGATCAAAATCATTTGTGTTATCTAATTGAAATAGTGCTAAAACTTCTTGGAAAAAGTCGAAGCGAGCAAGAGTATTACATTCCTCGCATAGAAAATTTACCAATGGTTCATTGGTGGTAGTGAACAACGATCCACTTTTTAACTGATTAGAAATTTTGTAGGATCGATTAACATAAAACCATCTTAAAATGTTGAACCTTTCTCGAAATGTATGCGGTATAAAATGACTTATGTGTTCAATGCGAGTATTTTTCTGTGGTCATCATACCCGGCTGGATTGATAGATACAGCAAGGCACTCTTTCTCTCATGTTAACTTGAAGTCCGACAAGAACAGATAATCATGTACTTGAGACAAGGATAGAGTATGTTCGTTCTTGTCAATGCTGATTATATCATAGCGGTGTTTCAAGCACGAACGGATTCTAATGTTGACTTCTGTGGCACAGCAAGAAAACTTTCACATCAGAAGAATATTTAAGGCCATAATGGCTAGAATCTATGTAGAAATTAGTTTGAAAACTCATCGATTCCAGAACGAACAATTTGCGAAAAAACGAACGACTTTTTTTGCTTTTCACGGTGTATTTCGAAAAAAAGTTCGAAGTACTAATATGTTATTTTGACATTCAATGATTGAAGATTTGTCATCAATCGAAAACTTCTCTCCATTTGTTCGAATATATTCAGGACGTACATTGGACAATACCGGGTGTATAACTGTAGGTTCGATTATTAGTATAATCGGCGACATACACATCAAAATTGTTATGTACTACAATTCCATTAAGTCCTGTAGACAATGGCCAGCTGTATAATAATTGTGTTCCGGTTGAATCATAGATGCGAATACCGTACCCTCTGACTATCAGCCATAGTCGACCGCAAGGATCGATTGTTGATTGAAAATTATAATTACTTCCATTGGCGATTGTCGCAGGTAGGGTGCCCCACGTCCAGTTTCCCGATGTTGTATCATAGCTTAGCGTTTGTAGTGGGGAGCTTGTAGTCACGCCTCCCATCAACAAATATGTATCGTTCATTCGACACAGAGTGTAGGGCAGTTGTGGTGCTGACAGAGTGGATGTTAATGTGTATGAAATGGGTGAAGTAACATTATAAAAAGCAATTGTACTTGTGCCACGAATGGCAGCCATCATTACCGTGCCATTTCTGAGAAAGACAACCTCTCGTGCTTCAGCCGGCATCGAAATGTTTGCAACGCGGAGAAGTGTCGCCGTCGAATAAACGTAAATCATTGAAGTGGCACCATTACCACACGCTATGAGACGCATCCTTATTAGGCCTGTGACAGTTCAGAGCAGTTTGACTCAGTTCATTTTCTAAAAGTTCCAGCTCCTTTCGAATGAGCTGAGCTGATGAACAGCTCTCTGAGATGAGCTGATAAAAGAGCTGAAGCTGGATACGATAAATGATGAGGAATGTTTTATTGAATAAATTGTTAAGAACTGTAGATATCGTATCACCAATTAACTGCAGCCGAAAAGAACGTATCAAAAATTTTTTTTGTATCAAAGAATTTTTTCAAAAAATAAAAGGAAAGAAGACAGTTTTTCTCCAACAACTTTTCGATAAATGTAGCACAATTCAAAAAAATCAGCGAATAAGTTAAGATAAGAAACTACTATCCATTTCAAAATAGTGTGCACCTGACTACTTTCTAAATAACTTTAGAAGAGAGAGGACTACCGTCCTGTGGTTTTCACCAACAGAAAGAGGATCAACACTCTTTAAATGAACATAAGCTTCAATGTCCAAGTTTACTGACCGGTAGTCAAGCTTTTCTCGTACTGACAAACCAAAAGTTTTCTGTTGGAATTTTATCTCACGAAGTACAATTCGACTCCGGTGATATTGCTATTCAATCCTGCGCAATATCAAATGTTAATCCTCATTCTCACGAACGTTGGACAAAACCACTACAGAGTTGTAACCGATTGAAAAAATTGGAATCGGATCGGCCGATCAGAAATCAGCATCAGACCGGCAGAAAATCGGTGATTGTTCGAAGCTTTTGCGGTTTGTGAAGAGAAAGGTAAATTGCAATCATCTTTATAACCAATTAACGATATATCATTTATCCATATATCATGTAAACCTTTATCATTCTGAACCAAAATAATTTTTTTTGTTTTAAATTTCGTTTTATCTGATGGGATATTAACTTATCTGGATTCAGTCATTTTGTTTAATGAACACAATAAGCAAAAACCGTGATATTCACTTTATTCAACGTCTTAACTTCTCTCAAACAACTTTACAAATAAACGTACGTGTAGATAGAAGAGTGAGAGTATAGGGTATCGCTGTGATTGTGTGAATTTTGTTTGTTGGATATTATCTCTACTGAAAATAAGTTAATAATGAGATAATGGGTGACTATCGTAATTAATAGCATTAAAAGAAGATAATAAAAGATGTTTCTTATCATTAGTATACGAAAATGCAACAACGATTAACTTCGAACATAACAAGATCAAAGCTAGAAAGCAAAACAATGGATTCCCGTTTCCTTGAAAAGTAATAAGTGTAAACGTGTATACTTCAAAGAATTTTAAGCGCGACCGGGACGCTATGAGAATGTTATTTTTCCAAATTCTTTTTCAAAAGATAAATCAGTGAGTATCGGCCGAGTGAAAAATGTAATCGGATCGGATCGGTTGCCGGTGCCGATTTGCAGATCCCGTTACAACTCTGGTCCACCACATGACTGTCCGGCATGTAAAAATGCACTTTTCTGAGTTCGGATCAATCTCAAACTGAGTTTTTCTAGAGGTTATCGACTATGTAGAGTTGATTGGGGGGGGGGGGGGGGGGGTGTTGGTGGTGGGGGGGGGGGGGGTGGGGGGGGGGGGGGGGGGGGGGGGGGGGGGGGGGGGGGGGGGGTGGGGGGGGGGGGGGG